TTCACAGCGTCACTAATGTCACTTTTCTAGATCAGAAAGATGAGATTCCGAGAAAAGACATAAAAAGAGTCTGAATGAAATCCACACAAAACATGACTTTATAATTCTGTATGGTGAATAATAACAGGCAACCCTGTTGTGAGTCTGTTTGTGAGTTTTCACTGGATGGGGGAAAAAAATCAGCTGACTGTGGTTAATGGCTAAAAGCATGATCACACACACACACACATTCCACCTTTAAAATGACTGAATCTCTGTGTTCAGTGTGACCTGCTGTCTGATGAAGATAGTGATGAAAATAGTGATGATGATGATGATGATGATGATGATAAATGGACCAGCATGTGAGTTTACAGGAAAAGGTTGAGTCTGTATGAGGAAATCATCATCTGTCCTCTCTTTACTCCCAGTCATGTGATCTGCCACTGAATAAATCATGATGAACTTTAGGTTGACTTCAGAACTGAACCAGCAGGTGCAGATGGACTGACAGGCTCATCCACATTTCTAGAAAGCACCTCAGTAGACAAACTCCGGGTCACAAGAACACCACTGCTTTAATTTAGCTCATAAACCCGGTACTGTGGCACTTATACCATTGTTTCTAGTCTTATGGTGTGTCTGTGTGTATCTGTGTGTGGGTGGGTTGGGCAGGTTTACTGTTTCCTGTCTGCAGCTCTGTTACTTCCTGTCTTAAGACGCCCTGTTTCCATCTGGGCAACAAAACAAGACAGACGGGCTGAATGACCCAAACCCATCCCGCTTGCATCCTCCTCCTCCTCCTCCTCCTCATCATCATCATCACCATCATTATTATCACCATCATTATGTCATGATATCTTTAATTAATATTGTTAATTTCACACTTGTTTAGAGAAATGAAGTGGTAATAATGTTTTTTCTTGATTTATTTTCAAGTTGGTGTTTATTCAGACAGTCAATATCAAAAAAATCTGTATCATCAATCACAAATCAGCATAAATCTAAAGTGTTTTCTCAGTAACTGTTAACGTGAATATCAGCCAATAAATGAACAACTCTTATTGGACCAGTACGTTTTAGCTCTGCGTGTTTGTGGAGTGTGAAATGGTTGGTTACGTCGGTGGGAGGAGTGCATGTTCTATGTGAGTGATTGGAGGTCAGAGGTCACAGCGGGGGCTGCTCTAAAGCAGAGGTTGCCATGGCGACAGACCCACAGGTGAAGAGTAGAGCTCCAGCATCCATTAGACAGGATGTGTCAGATGTTGATCCGTGACCTCCGTCAGGTTCCTGGTGGAGGTCATGACAGATGAGGAGCAGGTAATAAACAAACACTTCTGCTTTTCCTCATGTTGTTCTCTGTCAGCTTTATCTGTTGTAGCAACATGTGGTCCCTGTGAACATCCCAGACATAATAGACATCTGTGGCTGTTCGATGTTTGCGTCGTGACTGCAGTAGGGCTCTTATCCCCGATTTGACAGGTCGTTTTTCTGGCTCGACCAAATTTCTGATTGGTTGATTTATTTTTGTTGATGTGTGTTCAGTGTGAGGTTGTTCCAAATGTTCAGTAAATGTCTGGGCATCAGGGCTTTAAACCCATACCATGAACCTTCTCTATTTCCAACACCTGTTCTGTGCTAGCTGCTGCTAGTGCAGCTACACCTGCTTCTTACTCACTAATTTCTTTTCTTTAACCTAGTAGTCATTTTAACTTGTGCCAAGTGAGAAATGTCACTGCAGTCTCCTGTTCTTGTTGTTGATTTATTCTGGACACGTTTATATAAAACAGGACATGTTGACGTCGGCTCCATCGGTGGCCTCTGTGTGCTCAGCTGAGGTCATGGGTGTAGATATTAGACCGCTCCAGGTTTGTTTACACAGCCAGGCTGTAAAATACACAGGGACCTGTGAGAACAGCAGCTGTTCATGTGATCAGTCCGTCTGTGATAAAGTACCTGTCACACACTGACAACAGCTCCTGGACCTGATCCAGCTATTTAGTCAATATAGGAACAGATACCCATGTTAGTGTTGAGTGGGTGCGTCCCTAGAAGAGACAGGCACATCAGTGGGTGGAACAATAGTCCTGTCTCTGTAGCAAACTGACGTTTACTGCCCTCAGCAGCAGAACAAAGAAGAATCAAACCGACAGTCAGCAAAACTCTTGTAGGAGTTTGAAGTGAGAGAAACCAATAATGAAGAATGGCTCATGGAAACGCTGCACATGATTCTTTATTAGTAGCTTTTTACCTAGGTTTAGAGAATCAGTGGTGGAAGAGAACCCTCTCCATGCTAGGCAGAAATCCATACCACTGCTCCACTGAGAGCCCCTGCCTAATGTTGATTGATTTGATATGGTACTTGTGTTTAAAGTGCAGACACAAAATAGGGTTTAAGTAAATGTACATTAAACAGTGAAAACTGTTCAATAAAGAGTTCCATCAATGGATAAACAGTGGACTGACTGGCTGTAATATTTCTGTATCTTCAAAAAAAAAAAAAAAACAGGAACGGATTAAATGTATTTTTTAAGAAATGCCCGTTGACGCTGTACAGTTCCTTGTACCATTGTTGTAGGAACATTCAGTCCTGTTTGTTTGGGTTTCCTGGAGTGACTTCCTGCAACTAAACAGTGATGATTTACTGACAGTCGGCCTGTTTGGTCCGAGGTGTTTTTGTCTCAGCTCACTGTTTAGAGTAGAGAGGCTGTGGGAGGAGGAGAGAGGGTGAGAGAGAGAGAGAGAGTGTGTGTGAGAGAAAAGGGTGAGGGTGAGAAAAAGATGTTATATAAGCTGAACTCCATTAGAGCTGAAGGGAGATGATTCACACACATTATCTAATTACACACAGACAAACACACATACACATGCACGCGCACACACATACAACACACACATAGTGACATCACCCTCCACAGAGCAGTAAAACACACTCATCTCCTAGCAACCCCTGCCTCCCCCTCTCCCCTTCGAGTGCATCATCAATTAAAGAGAACAGAGCCGGGCGAGAGACAATGACATCGAGGGGACAGAGAGGGGGAGAGGAGAGGAGCAGGGGAGGGTTTCAGTGAGGGTGTTGAGGAAGGAAACAGTTGGAAACCTCTGGTTTCCTGCAGGACAGAGACTCAGAGGAGAGACAGGAAGACGTATCCACCCTGTTGACCATGACTGACACTGAGACCCAGCCCTGGGCCACTTCAGACCAGGATCTCAAACCTGGACCAGCACTGGATCAGGACCTGAAGTCAAAATACATTTCAGAGCAGTCCGTTTTTTATGTTAAAAAAAAACCCACTTCAGACTCAGAAACCAAAGGCACTGTAAAAGGAGGGTTCGGATTTAAAGTACTGCTATGTACACAAGTGCAATAACACTTAGTATTTGTGATCATGAAGTAATACTTCAGAGTTAAAGTACTCCAGTGATAAACGGAGATGAACTCATCAGTGTTGGTAACTTTGGTTCAGAGTTCAGAACCTTTCTACATGGTTCTGTTCATGTGAGCGCCGCAGCAGTTTTAGCCCCGCCCCAAATGCTCTCATTGGTTCAGACTGCATTATGTTGTGATAAAATATAACTGTTGTTGTTAATAAATGAATGGTGTTGTAAAGGTATTCATTTTTGATAAGTAATTTATTTCTGTTGACATGTAAATAACAGGAGTTGGTTGTTATATACAGGCCTGTCAGCCAGGCTGTAGAAACCCTGGGACATACCCCCTCATGTCAGTGTAAAGAGGTATTAGTGGCTTTAACGCTCCACACTGCGGTGGTTTCCACAGCAACCAACGCCAATTTGCCCAGGGTTGTTGTGGTGAGAAGATGTGACCTCTTCTGAGAAAGTGTGTGTTTGTCTCTGCAGGGTGGAGCTGCGCTGTTTATGTCTCCTCACAATAAGAATTGAAGGGAGTTTGGGGGGAGACATGGAGTGTGAATGCAGAAAGGGTGAGGGGTGGCGAGAGTAAACATAGGAAGTGGACATTTATTTGATCACAGTAAAACATTTGCTCATGCTGCGACGCCGGACCACTTCACACATTCTCTCAAACACATCAGTGAAAACGTGCAAAAGCAAAAACATGTGGAGATGTCCCAGCATGCAT